GATGGAGGAGTGAAGTGTCCCAGAATGATTTGTTCAGTGTTAACAGCATGTGGACCACTCTCCCCCTCATGACGATCTGATGAATCGGGAGAATATTCGACTTCAGATCTTGTTCCATTAGTTCTCTCTGGGTACCGGTTGACCTTTGTAGCAACATATGCAGATGACCTCCAGCCTGCTTTCCTTTCAAGTGAGTAAGGCCTCTTAGCTTCAGTTCATTCAGTGGCTTGACTCTGTCTGGTCTACGCCAGATATGCTCTCTGATTTCTTCTTGGAAGGGGGCTTTGATGCGAATGTTATCCCATGGTTTCTCTGTCTTGGGAAGTCTTCCCGCTGTTTGTCTTACGACCGATTCAAGAGTCTTCTGGGATTCTTTGTAATTCTCCCCTTCCTTGCGTTCATCGTCCTCGAGCCTTATAATATCTTCAGAGCATTTGTTGATTAGCTCTCGTAGCCACCAGTTTCTTTGCATGTCCTCTTGTTCGGCCTCAACCCGAAGATCATCCCATTCTGTCCATTTTCTTGGCCATTTGTCATATATCACCGCCTCTTCCAGTGCATCATGGATGTCTTTGCCTGGGGAAATATATTGAATTCTTTGGCTGATGGAGAAGATGTACCAGTGGTAACATCATCAGGACTTCCATCCCCTCCTCGGTTGGTATCTCTGGGAGATACGCCTCGGGATGTTATTTCTAGCTCGACCATGCTAGATAGTTTGGCTGTGGATGGTGGCTGTTGGTTTGTTGAGGTTTCAGGTTGGATTGGCTGTGGAGTTTGGCTTGGGAGAGCAGTTTGCTCAAGTGATCGAGGTCGCTTGTTCTCCCCCTCATGAGGATCCGAATCATCGGGGTCCTCATGGGAACGTTTGCGACCACGAAGACTCTCCTTGCAAGTGCTCTTGGTTTCGGGTGAAGAAAGAAGGGCTTCAAGTATGGCTTGCTAATGAAGAGTGAGCTTGTCTTCTGGGGTGTTTAAGAGGTTGTTCAGCAAAGCCGAAGCTAGTGTGTCAAAGGATAGTGAGGAGAGATCGATGGAGGGTGTGGTCGAGTGTGGGGAGAATACTGGTTCTGTATCCTGGGTTCCCCGAGAAATAGAGGGAATGGGAATTTGGTTTATGGATTGGTGGGATAGAGGAGTGGAGGATATGGGTTGTGTATGGGAGATGAACGGTTCAGGGGAAGGTTGGGGTGGTGTTTGTTCAGACCGAATCGCTTGGGTGGTCCTAAATTCCTGTGCTAGAGCGGTCATTGCATCTTGCACCCATGGCTTAATGGTGGAATCCAGGAAGCGATTCAGTAGAACGTTTACATCTTCAAAGGTAGGGTGACCAGTTACGGGGGTTGTAACTGTTGACACAGCATCAGTGAAGATTGCTGATGTGTGGCCTGCATTTAATGATGGAATCATTATGGGCGTAGCAGGGCTTCCAACCGTCATAGCTTGCGCTCTGGTTGTTGCGTTCAGGGTGAGTGCACCTGTATGTGCAGTGAATAGTGTAGGTGTCCTAGAAAATGAAGAAAATGTGGGGAATGTGACACCTAGACTCGATGTGTGAGAAGAAGGGGTTTTGACCTCGGGAGATAGGTCAATTGTATGCTCAACTGATTCAGAAGGAACCAGCGAGGGGATTGAATCCCGTTCTTTTGAAACAATAGCCTTTTGAGAGGCTATTGAGTGGCTGGGAGAGGGCTGTGCATGCGCAGTTGAGCCAGATGCTGCGACTTCTACCCGGGAACTGAAAAGATCGGCTCCTGTGCTTAGGGATTCGGCTCGGCTTATCTAGATAAAGGAGTCGCAGCCCGCGAAGATGTGCTCGTCTGCCTTATCAAACAGGCTCTTTTTGGCTCGGGGCTGGGGCTTGGCCTTGGCAGCCTTGTCATTCTTGACCTTTTCCCTGGTCTCTCGGATGACGACTTCTTCCGAGTTGATTGATGCCTTAATGGAATGAGCTGCCTCGTCGTAATCATCCTTGGAGCAATTTGTCTCACTCGGATCAGCTCTTGGTTTAGCCTTTTCTTTTATAGTGAAGACTTGAGGTCTGCCAGCTATGATTGGTGTTGCGTCTTCAGCAGTAATTCTTCTCTTCTTCGGAGATTCGACGGGCAGCTTCCCTTTTCTGATCAGGGCATATGTGAGCTCCACATCATCACTATCGTTGTCATCATCGTCATCATCCGAGCCAGATTCTCCGCTCTCCGTGCCCACGCTCTTGGAAGCCTCGTCGTCAGTGTTTGTTTGGGCTTCACTTGACGATTCATTGGCCGTTTCCTTAGCGTCTTTTTCGGTGCCCTCAGCCGCCTGACTCGTCTCAAGAGAGTCGTCAGACTTTCCTTCATTGGGCGAACCGGCCACTGGTTTCTGTGGCTTTTGGGCTCTCTTAGGACCCTTACTCACACTCTGCTTTGTCCCTTGGGTAGGTCCAGCTGGGTTTTGCTGAACCATAGGGACAGTCTTCTCTGTGGCTTCCTTGTACTGCTGAATTACAGGATTTGAAGGTTTTACAAGGTTGAGCATAAACCCAGGGATCCGCAGACCGTAGGTAGGGTTCTTGTCTGCTTTAAAGTATTGCAGCTTTGGGGCTTTGTAGTGTGGATCGGAGCTGCGTTTTGGGATTGACGAATGCTCTGTCATGCAGTCGTTGATGATTAGTCCAAGCCACCTTGCATATGGGATGGTACCTGGCCTATTCTTTTCTTTGGCCTTGACCAGGTCCATTAGCTCTGAGAAGAAGAGTTGTGCCATGTCGTAGTTCTTGTTGAAGGCGATGCCATGGAAGATAAGCAGGATCTGCTTGTTGCACTTGTCGAATCCGGCATGCTTCGGCGACAGGCACTTGTTCACTAGCCCGAAGAGATTCTTCCACGGGTGACGGAGATATGCACCGTTGAAGTTTGACAGTTGTGGCAGTAGTGATGTGTAGCCAAGGGATGCCACGTCTTTGAGTAGATCTGGGATGGATGGCAGTGCATCGTACTCATCATGGATTGGCAGTGATAGAGTAGCCCGTAGAGTAGATGGTGTAAGGATCACCCGCATGCCGTTTAGCTTAGTCTTGATTTTGGAGCGATCCTTCACTGATTCAGTATGCATGTGCCCCCAGAACTGTTGTAGGTATATCTCTGGCACCGGTTTTGAGTTGTGAAGTGCAGGCCAGAGATAGTGACCTTTCATGATGGCTGGAACGATCGGGTTCTGGCATGTGAAGACTGCAAGGTCTAGCTGGAAGTTGTTGTCCATCACCTTGATCCATTTTTCTTGAGAGTAGATGGCATCATCGATCTGTGCTTTTGTGTTTCCTGCCATTTTAAACTGTAGAAGCATGGGGTCAGCATATGAAATTCAACTGTTTGATTTGATTGAAGGAGTTTGATTTGCAGTTTTCAGATAAGTTTATGCAGGTGGAATTTTGAAAAAAAATTGCCCAAGTTCAAATCTCGAGATCTGAATCTCGAGATCAAGATGTCGAGATGCAGATCTCGAGATCTTGATTTCGAGATTCAAATCTCGAGATCAAGATGTCGAGATGCAGATCTCGAGATCTTGATTTCGAGATTCAAATCTCGAGATCAAGATGTCGAGATGCCCATCTCGAGATCTTGATTTCGAGAAGATGAATCGACGATCTCGAGATCTTGAAAACCAAAATCTCGAAATCGTGATTTCGAAGCGAAGAATCCACCTGCAAAGACAACGATATAACAAACAATAACAAGCGATTTCGACCTAAAGTCTAACAAAAAACTTTTTATGTTGATTTTGAGAAAAAACTATTGAGATTCCAATCTCGAGATCGTTCGTTTTCGAACGCAGTTGAAGATAATGATTTCGAATTCGAGTGATGAGAAGATTTTTCGTTTGAGGCGTCGTTATTGAACTCGAAATCGATGGAAATCTACCTTAGTGATTGCGAAAGTGAATCGGAGAAGGAGAAGTTTTTCGAAAACACGGTTTTGAGAAGAAGAAGAACAGTCGGAGAGCTCTTCCTTTGCGAAAAGTTTAGAATAGAAAGGGAAGGGCTTTTTCGAGGTTTATATACGCGATAGAAAAAAAATTTGGACCTTCTCCGTAACAATTGAGCCCGAATGATTGGGCTGGCACACAGTGCCCTTTAAAAATTTTCGAGGCTCAAACCAGTAAAAATAGAGAGCTCCCCCTTAATCAGTGGAAATTTGCTCCCCCTCAAACAGTGAAAAAATTTTCTCCCCCTCAAAAAATGCAACGAACAATATGTACAAATGCAACGCACACACACTATTTTTGTTCTTTTTGATTTTTTTCACACCCACTCAACACATGCAACACACGCACACTATTTTTTTGTTATTTTTCTGGTTTTCTCCCCCCCCCCCCCCCCCCCCCCCAACACATGCAACGCACACACACTATTTACAAGTCACACGCACACACACTTTTTACAAGTCCCACACACACACACTTTTCAGATCAGTGGAGACAAAAGTTAAACGGGCTCGAGGTTTAACATGCCCAACTTGGAGACCAGGAACTGGAATCTTTTTTCATCCAATGCCTTAGTGAACAAGTCAGCCAGTTGAAGCTCTGAGCTTACAAAATACATGTCAATGTCTCCTTTCTCCACGTGATCCTTGATGAAATGATAGCGCAGGTCGATGTGTTTGGTGCGGGAGTGATGAACCGGGTTGCTGGTGATGGCGATGGCGCTCTGTGAGTCACTGTAGATCGGGATATGGCGGAGAGTGTAACCGTAGTCCTTTAGCTGGGTCTTCATCCTGCAAAACAAACCTCAGAATATCTCAATGACGCCATTCTGTTCGGCCTTTTGAGTCAACCACATTCTGTGAAAACCCTCATTAAGCTCTTGCATGCTATCATCACTGATGGGTATAGCTACTTCACTTCTATGGTCACCAGATTCATTGATGAATTGTATGCCAAACTTACTAATTCCGCAAAGATTCAGCTAATTTGGGTTGCTCGTGAAATGTTTGATGTGTTGGCTATAGGGTTTGATCGATTATTAGTGTCTCTTCTTCGACAAATTATTGGTGGGGATTTCGGTGAGGGTAATTTATGGCTGTGCTCTGAGATGGTTGGTATTTTACTGAACAAATGGGAGAGTTTAGTAGAAGAAGATCCCTTGGTTTTGACATATGGGTTGTATGTGTTTCTTAGGTTATTAGCTGATCATGGTAGGTTATCTAATGATCCAAGACTAAAAACATTAATGAGATTGGAGACAGAGTTTTGTATTAGGGTTTTGAGGGAACACTTTGGTCTGTGTTTAAGAATAGGGAAGGATCTTGTGAGGCTTTTACAAGATTTGGTCCACATAGCTGAGTTCAAGTCCATATGGAAAGACTTGTTGTTCAATCCAGGAGAGTTTAAAGTAAATGATTTTAAGTCCATAGCTCAAATTTATGGTTTTAGGACTCCAAGTTTGTACTTTTCACTTAGAATAACACCCGAGATGGAAAGAAACTTGAGATTTTTGCTCACAAAAGTGAAGCTTGGCAACCAAAGGAGGTATCAGGTCTGGTTTGCTAAAAAGTTTCTTTCTTCGCCTGACAGGGAGACTCTTTTGGTAGACATTGTGAGGTTTATCTGTTGCACATGCCGTTCTTCAAGCGAAGATAGTCATGTTGTGGATGTGATGCCGAGATGGGCTGTGATTGGTTGGCTGTTGATGTCTTGCAGGAAAGGCTGTGTCCAAGCAAACTTAAAGCTTGGGTTGTTTTACGATTGGCTGTTTTTTGATGAGGATGACGTGATGTGTGTAGAGCCAGCAATTTTGTTGATGATTAACTCTATTCCAAAGTATAGTGATATCACCAATACTCTTCTTGAGTTTCTCTTGATTTTGATTGACAATTATGATGTAGAGAGGAAAGATATGATAATCAAAGGGGTGTTAAGCGCTATCCATGCGCTTATTAGTAAAGGCGTTATTAAATCACTTGATGTCTTGACTCACTCCGATGTGGTCTCTCCCTTGCTAAGAGAAATGCTAGGGAAATTGTTGTCTTTCATTGATATGATTAAATGATGCATTTTATTTCTTTCAAAAAGGTTATACGGTTTTGAATGAGACTAGCATTAAGATATTAAGGAAGTAAGGAACCCTGGATCCCATACCCTAGATCAACACACTGCCATTCCAAAATAGTTTTCCTCCTAGCAAACTAGCATTTCGATGCTACTCCGTATTATCTAATACTTCATATCCAACTAACCTCAAGAGTTTATTATTTAATATTGCAGGAGATTGACTCATTTTGGTCTGGATAAATTTGTTGAGGAGATACTTGTGAAAGACAATGTATAATCCATGGAACTCCAGAATCTCTTTGGGTTTGATATACTTTTGTATGTTGTAATGGTAAATGGGATCGGCAGTCCAGTTATTGGAGGCCCGCCTACAGTTAACAGGTATACAAACGACTGGAGGAGGTGGAGTCACATGCTCTTAGAGAGTTAGAGCTAAAGTTTTGATTAGCCTATGCTCACATACTGGTGGCCACAAGTATGCTGGAAATTGAATGATATTTAGGCCTGAGCAGTGTGAGGATCATTTCTGGATCAATACAATTTATATCATACAAACTTCATTGTTATTATATCTTGCTTGAGCAACATATTGGAAAATGAGAAAATGGTTTTGAATAGTGTTTTTATCTACTAGAGCTGGTAACTGCTTTGCATAAAACCTTCTTTGCCATGATTGAATGGTGTTTTGATATACCTTGCATTGAACAGTTCATTTTTGTATGATAGATACCTGAGAGCACACTTCTACAGAAGAGACAATTCTTTCACCACACCGAGTCCAGGTGACAACTCAATTGTACATATTGCCCTGATTTTTAAATTTTTTATCGCAAGCCCCCAGTCCTTGTCAAGAACTACAATGAATATGATCTATTATTAAGAATTAATAACTTAAAGTATAGCCGTTGCATATGCTATGAGGGTTCTCCACCGTAAAATAAAACAATTTGAATGGAAACAAGGTTGGGCAATACGTACTACATGTGCGGAGTGATGTACTTTGACCATGACCAACGCTTGCACTCCAATCGGGGTAGATACGGCATGTGTTGGGTGCATCACGAAGCACATGGAGTAGTAGTTGAGCCAAGAAAGGATGCATTCCTCGTAATAGATTAAGAGAGAACATTCTACTTCTCATATCTAGATGGATTATAAAGTCATTGGCCAATGCAAAGATATATTCGTTTTGGATATCGAATATGATCGTTATGGATCATCTAGAAAGATTGAGAGACAGAGACTGAGTTATTGGAATAGACACAATATCATGTTCTAGACTTAGTTGAATGTTCATTGAATGAAAGGACCATATCACTATGAGCTCTATATTACAGGGAGTTTGAATAGTCCTCACAAACGTCCTTATATATTAAGTTTGTCTGGTAAATCGTCTAGGGATTCTACTAAGACCTTAATTTGATTAGTGCTTAATATATAAGGCCCTATGGGTCACACAACAAGTGATTTTACCTTCCGAATGAATTGTTAGAAGGAATTAAATATCATTAATTGGATTAAATAATATTTAATTCATAATACTGAAAATGGATTAAATATTAATTAGATTAAACATATTTAATTCGTGATGTTGAAGGAGAGATATATTTGATAGAATTAATTAAGTCTGATAAATTAGATTTATTATACTTAATTAAAACGTATTTATAATTAAATAAAGTTGATATTTTCTTGAGTAAAATTTAGAATTAAAATGAGTTCAAGAAAATACAAATACAATAATAATACTAATAACAAATGTACATAAAGAGAATGAGGTGGTGGATCTCCCCATTCCTCTTAAGTATGTATGTACGTTTTTTTATTATTATTATTATGGAGTATATTTTTATTTAATTTATAAATGGTAATGGTCCTAGTTAGACTAGAACTCATTAATGAGAAAGACTTTCATTGTCATTGGGAAACTAGTTTAGAACTAGTATAAATACACCCTCCTCTTTCATAATTTACAGACCAGTTTTTAGATTCAGTATTACCAGTTTATATCCCTGCAAAGAGATTTCCTAGCCTTTCTCTTAGGGAGATCTAACCGTTCTTTCGGAGAGGAGAAATCACGTGGATACCTAAGGTCAAGGATTATCACTGCTAGGCTGGAAGATCTGTAAGTTCTAACTCACATCTGTTATCACTGCTAGGATACCTAAGGTCATATTCGTTGTTTTGTCATAATCAGGAAAGATCTGTTTAGAAAATTTTAAACTTCCGCTGCTGTACTTTCGAGGTACGTTACATCAATTTCCTAATAGTGGTATCAGAGCCAAACTGATTCTAATGACATTATACGAATTTTAGTATGTATTTTCGTAGGACAAGAATTTATTTTTTAGAAATTGTATTTTTGTCCTAATCTGATTTTTGAAATAGTTGAATCTGGAATTTGGAATGTGTTTACGGGTTCAATTTTGAAATCAAATTTACTGATATGGATAATTAGATTTATTATGATATGAAATTGGAAATCTATCTGGATAGTGCTCAGACGTGGATAATTTGGAATGTAGTAATCTAGTTGTTTTCTTCCCGTTTGTTTCTTTTTATTCTGTTTCTAAACTTTCTAAAAGAACAATTCGGAAGAATGATCTGCGTGAGAGGCTCGCGGTAGATGACCACCTTCACTGTTTCTCCTTCCGACTGATTCCAAAGCGAATTATTCTCGGCGTTGTTTTTTTTTAAATTGTCGAGACCTGCTACGATTAGGACTTTTGGAGTTCTACTTGCCGATGCTTAGTCATGGTTTTCTCACTAATGGCAGATTTTAAATACGGAGTACTAGTTATATATTAAAATTAACATTATTTTAATTAGATTAAAATCTTAGAGATTGAATAAGTTTAATTTTAATAAACTTGGTTTATTCAATAATTATATTATTATGGTTTTGAGCATGCTTATGTTATTACTTGATTATTATATCTAGTTATACATTGGATTTATATTGCATGCTTTAATTTGTCTGTCTGAGTTAGATCTAATCACATATTATTTGATAATATGTTTTAGCATCTTGATTAAATAAAGTAATTTAATACCCCGCTAAATGTTCCCCATAAGTTAAAATTTAAGTCTTATATGGGATAACGACATCACCCATCATAATTAAATTAGTAGATATATTTTTTCGTTGAAGAATATTTCACCCAAGTGTTTATTCCATTCGACAAAATATAGAACTAATTTATAGATACATATGTTTGTGATCGTGTGATGGTTTTGACTTACTTAAATTAGCTCGAGTCGCCCAAGCGTCAGTGTTAATTTAGGGATGTCGATCAATTTAAAAAATTGATCAACCAAGAGTTGTTTGGATACAATTGGTCGAGGGACCTACCCATTATATTATTGCAGTGATCAGCCCAAGCTGGGGCTGTTATAGTATGAGTGTGGATCTTGGCCACTATGATTATGAAAACAATCCATGTTCTTTTTATTGGGGTCAAAGAGCATGCAAAATAGTAGGAGCTAAATAATTAAAAGTCCATATTATTTAGTTAATTAAATGTGATCATAGGAATTATCATATGAATTTTAATTCCCATTCTATTTGAACTTCTTTAGGCTCTTAGGAATGTCGAATTTATCATTGAGAAGTATCTTGGATACATGCAAGCTGACTGGACCAAACTTTCTGGACTGGGAAAGAAATGTGCGTTTAGTTCTTAGACAAGAAAATATTGAGTATGTGTTAGACACACCGGTACCCAAGATTCCTGATGCCAACTCTCCTGAGTTTGCCACGTTTGACCTGACTGCTCGAGAGAAACACGTCAATGATGCTAAAACTGTGCAATGTGTTATGTTGGCTGCAATGTCTATGGAGTTGCAAAGGCAACACGATAGGATGACCGCCTTCGAGATGCTTGAACACTTGAAAAGTCTGTTTGATTCAGAAAGTCAGACTCTAGAGTATGAACTTCTGACAGACATTTTCAAGTGTAGGCTTCAAGAGGGTGGCAACGTGTCTGAGCACGTCCTCAAAATGATTGGCTTAATTGAAAGAGTTGCTACCACCGGAATTAAGTTTGAGGATCATGTCTCAGCTGTCATCATCCTATATTCGCTTCCGAGTTCATTTACTAACTTCATTGTGAATTATAATTTGAACAAAACGAAAGCGACCATGCCTGAACTCCATAACATGCTCAAGTCTTATGAAGCCTCAACCTCTAAAGGAAAGACTGTTCTTATGGTAAGTTCTAATGCTAAGTCTCGTTCTAAGAACAAGAATAAGCAAAAGAAGAAAGGTAAGGTTGGACCTACTCCTACAGCTCTGAAGCCTAAAGGTGGAGGTCATATGAAGCCAAAGGTTGCAAAGGATGTTTGCCTCTACTGCAAAGAGAAGGGGCATTGGAAGAGAGATTGTGAGTTGTATAAGGCTAATTTAGCCAAAGCACCGGGTGCTTCAAGCTCATGTATTTTTATCATTAAATACATTTGTCTATAACTAACTCTCATTGTTAAAGTATTAGATACAACTTATAGCTTACATATTTGTAAAAATGTGCAGAAGCCTGAGAAGCAGTGTAGCAGTTGGACTGGGTAAAATTGACCTACACGTGAAG